GTGGCCGCCGCTGCGCAGCCGCCGCCGCGGGGCACCCCACAGACGGCACTGTGTCGGACGTGGCTTCAGCCAGCCCCTGGCCGGTGGCCGTTTTCGGTAAGACCCGCCCCCGATCCCGCCGGCCCGCGCCCTACCTCCCTTCCCCAGGTGACCACCTCGGACGACCCCGAGATCGCGCGGCTCGCCGACGACCCGGCGCACAAAGACGTCAAGGTGTTGCCGCCCTCGCCGCCACCAGCGCCGCCGCCCTTGCCGCCACCAGCGCCGCCGCCACCAGCGCCGCCGCCGTCGCCGTCGCCGCCGCTGTCACCACCGTCATCCTCGCCGCCGCCGTCGCTGCCCCCGCCTTGGCCCCCGCCTTCACCGCCGCCCCCTTGTCGCCGCCGCGCTCGCCGCCGCCCTCACCCCCGCCCACGCCGCCACCGCCCTCGCCAGGTCTTCGCGACCGACGCGATTGTGTCTGTCATCATGGCTGCGCCGCGCTCGGCGATGGGGTGGGACATCGTCATCAACAAGGTGGACGGCCGCCTCTTCCTCGACAAGCGGCACGGCTCGCCCATCGACTTTGTCTCGTGCAACGAGACGGGCAACGACTTCATGTCGGAGGACCCAGAGTCGATCAACCACCTTGGCAGCCACCCTCCGCCACCCTCCCTTCGCCACCCTCCGCCCGCCGCCCGCCGCCCGCCGCCCACCACCCGCCGCCCACCGCCTCCGCACACCAACCCACACATCCTGGCACGCGGCGAGACACCTGCAGTGGCCCGCGTCCGCCCCCCCCCCCCCCCCACCCTCCCACCCTCCAACCCTCCAACCCAGAGGCAAGCTGACGGCGGAGGCAACCCTCATAAACCAGCACTTTTCCCAGAAAGTCCTCGTGGACGGCGCGGGCTCGGGCTCCGAGCGCCCCTCCTCCGCTTCCCCCTCGGCCGGGGAGGCCCCAAAACCCCCCCCTTTTTCCGAGCCCCTCACCCCCTTTGCCCCCGAGGGGCCTCCTCCCCTCCCTGCTCGGGGCACCCCCTTTTTCTGTTCCCCTCACCAAACCCCGGGGCACCCCCTGGTTGCCCCCTCGCCCGTGGAGACTCCCGGGCCAAAAGCCCTCCGGTTCCACCCCGGAAAAAAAAAAGCCCCCGGGGCATGCCCAAACCACCCCCAAAAAAGGTCCCCCAAAAAGGCCGTCACCCCCCCTAAAAACCCGCCT